ATGAACTAAAAGGCCAGCTTGTTTATGCGGCATTGCCTGCAGAAAATCTCGTCATTCCAAATTAACATAAAATATCTTTTTACAGTAAGCTGCTGACAAGTAAGACAGTCTGTCTTGTTTATGTATCTTTAGAAATAGTACACCGAAGAAACAAACAGAGATTGAATGGAAATCAGCTCCCAGGATAATCATTTCTTATTGAAAATGGCTGGATTTTTCCCACAACAAAGAATGCCCATCGGTGTGTTAAAAGAGTAAGTTACTCCCTAACAGAGCAAAACCTAAAATGTTTATTAAATAGTGTAATATTAAATAAAATTAATAGTCCCTAGGCTCCTAAACAGTGCAAGTCAGAAACACGTCACTCTGAAATACCCCAATGTTATTACAAAGAAAACAAAGTGAGGAGGACGAACATCCTGCTTAAAGCAGTCTTCCCTATTTAGAGTAACAAATTTGCTTACACTCTACTCTTACAAAGAGTAAAATCCTCTACAGAGTAGAAGACCAGTCATATGCTCAGATGCCAACCTGAAACTACGTAAAATGAAAGTACATGTACGTTTGTTAACGTGATCATCTGTTGAAAGTTAATATATTTTTAGTTTCCTCAGTATGAGATGGCTTTTTAGTGGGAAAGAAGTGCCAAAAGCTTTAAGGACATTCATCCCTTTCTTAAAATTCATGAGATCAATATTAATAACAGAAGAGAAGAAGAATGTTGTAAGTCAAAACTTGCAGAGGAAAACCTGCTATTGCATACTTGAAACCAAACTTCAGGCAAGTAGGCAGAAAAGAAATCTCAAAACAAGCTCCTAATCACCATCTGGTCACTGAAAATTCACATACACAACTTCTCAGAGTACTTGTTCATCTCAGATGGGTCTGAACTCACATGAGTGAATGTGTGTAGATGCTGAACAGGCATCTGACTTCTGCAGAGATCTTGGGCCGGGTGTGAATTTGGTTGCTAGTCCCTACTGTATCAGCACTTCATTTTGTTTTAGAAATTACTCATATGCATCTTCCTCTGCCTCATAATGGGCAGTTGCTCCCTTTCAAAAAATTAACCAGAAAAAGTTATCCGTAACAGTCTAGTATTTGCTGAATTACTCTGCTTCATTTCCCCCTCTTTTCTAAACACTCTTTTTATTTCTTTTTAAATTTCTATAGTTAGCAAAGTTAGTTCAAAAGTTTTCTCTTTTCAAAATTGTCGTGAAGTCACCAAAGCATGTGCATTCTGTAGGTCATTATATACTGCAACATCATATTCGTCTAGCCAGTTAGTTAGAGTGACATGTACAATCACCAGAGCAGTAGTCTTTGTTGCTTATATCTGAAACGATTCCTCTATTTGTCAGTCAGTAGGAGCCTTTGCCACGAGAGAGCCTGCGTTTACCCATGAAGATTCAAGTATATGAGATCTCAGATAGCCCTGATGTGGAAGCCAGTTCCACGCAGCATTTCCGTTTCTACTTTTCAGTTCTTTTTCATGAAAGTAACCAGTAGCTAGAGTCCATGAAAAAAAGGAAATGAAAAATTAAATTTATAGAAAAATCAGAGAATGAGTTGCATTACGTCATGTCCTAGGACTTGAATCCTGGTAAAGCCAAGCCACAGGATGGCTGTGGCATATCAGTATGGGGTACACATAGACCACAGGAAAGTGTGCTGCAAGCTACAGGACTGAGAACTCCAAACCATTCTCTTTCTCAGGATCAAAAAGATTATTTTGCAAAGCAGACAGCCTAAGGATTACCTTGCTCTCTGATACTTGCTCTCATATATGTTAATATGCTGAGCTGTCAGACAGAGAACATTTACTTGGATCCTTACCTCAGTGTAGTGACAAGGGCCAGAAACCAGAGAAGCAGAGCTTGATGCACTTAGAAACAGGAAATTGCCCCTACAAAGATGCACCTGTGTGAGTCTTATTTGTCATACCAGAGGAAATTGCTGCTAAATCCTTGAAAGTAAAGATGCAATACTGGTGTAAATCAGAACAGAGCTGCATTCCTTGTCTGTTCTCACGCTGGCTTAAAAGTTGCTTTTCTAGCTGCCTGATGCTCTTATACCAGAAAGCATCCTATCCCTGAACTGGCTTCTGGCTTTGCCTTAGTAATATTGTCATTCTGTCACCTTCAGTGCTTCTAGGATGGTTGGTGTGGGCTGAGAAGCCAGACCCAAACCCCTAGCAAAGATGGTAAACCATGCAGTAAAAACTATCTTCTTGAAAAAAATTTGGTGTTGGTTTTGGTTTTCATGCAGACTGTTACAAGGAAAATATAGCTGGAGAGAAAAATCTGGTAATTCAGTTGATGATGGAGGAGGAAACAACTTTTTTAGTACCGGGAATTTGTCATAGGTTTCTGGAAAAATGTATAGTGCCTGAAGAATGCTCTATTTGTGAGCATTATGTGTCCTGTGTTTTATTTTATTATCTTCTAGTGTCCCATAAAAACCCTCTGAAAAAAATATTCTACAAAACGTGACCATTTGCTTTCATCATTCCTTCTTCTAAAAAGAAAACTGAGGAGGTTTTGCCTCATCTTTGCTTGTAGGAGTTAAGTGCCTCTGTTACAAGGGCTTGTAGCAAGTGTCTTGGCTAGGACAGTCACTCTAGGTTTCTTGCATGGGCCCTGGAGATAAATCAGGAAAGAAACTGGATTTAGTGTATTTGTCTCACTCTGAAGAGAATTCATTTTCTGATTGCCTGTGAGGTGGGAAAATCAGCTTCAAGCCCTGATTACAGATCAATGAAGATATTAATATACTTTGACAAGTTATAGGAATTTGACCACATGGTGTTTTAGTGGAAGAATGGTGATATGGACTATCTCATCAAGCAAAATGTCTTTTCAGGAGTGAAGACTGTGGAATTACAGTATCACAAATACACTGGCATTTTCTTCAATAGTAATGCAGTATTATTGCAGTATTATTAAATGCAGTATTCACTACTGTGAATGTGCTCACTCCCTAGATCAATACCATGTTAATAACTGAAAAAAGTGAGTTTTCATGCATCAGAAATGATGACATTGTAAGCATCGGTATTCTGCTTTGTGCTACATTTCATTCCCTATCACATCAGTCTGGGCTGCAATATTAGCCAGAAATGGAGGTTACGTGACAGTATTAAATAAAAGAAGGGAAATGTATTTCCTTTTTTTCCTTCTTACCCATGCAGTAATAAGTTAAACACATCTGCAATTCAGAGTTTTATAGCTGGGTTGCTGCTAAGCATTGTCGATGACCTCTGTAGAAAATTTGATCTCTCTCATGTTATGCAGAAGATCCAGACACTCCCTCTGAGCCGCACTGTAGAAGCCGTAGGATCTTATGAGCACATTCAAGCATGCACATTCAATATCTCATAGAACATGCATAAGTCCCTTAGAATCAAATGTTCAAAAAGATGTTAGCCCAACTTGTCTTCAGCACCAGCTAGAACCTCTAGACATGGCAAGTGGAATGGAGGTGGAGGAAAGGTTGTTGTCTGTTGATCCAAGTAATAAGAATAAGGCATCAGTAAACACAAATGTTATCAGAAGGGGCTTTTTTGCAATCTGTGCTTTGTGCAGCTGTAGCTATCCTGCTTTATACCGCAGCAGTGCTGTGCCCAAAACACTGAAAGGAAAGCTTTCCAATCACAAACAAATTAAGGAAGGCTGTATGGGGAAGAGGGAAGGGAAATGGTGTCCCCCACGAGACCAAGCAGTGTCTAGTAAAGTCAACTGCACTTACCTAAACCCCAGTCAGCACAGCTTTACAAAGAATGAGGCAAAAAGCAAAAAGTGACATGACTTAACATTTGCTAAAGCAGTTTGGACAGGATAAAATGTCTATGATGGAAGCCTTTTCTAGCCAACGTCAATTTCAACAAGCTGCTAAACCTCTGTATTGTTTGTGCCAGTACAGACTGACAGCAGGAACAGGAGGAAGATGTGCAGTGTCGATGTAAGCAGAAGGTGGTCGTCCACTAAAGTACCCTGTTAAAAAGTACTCTGTGGAAGTGCATGAACACTAGTGCGCTTCCAAACTGAAACATATTCAATGTGGAGAGCTTGCAGTCCATTCAGACTAATCACTGACTAATTCTCTTGTGCTTGTGTTGGGGAAACCCACCAAAAATGAAAAAGGTATATACAATGCTGGAGTTGTTTGAGCATAGACCAGTGGCCCTCCTGGAGAGAAGACATGCCCTAAAATATTTGTGTCAGGCTAGCCATCAAACCACAACAGTTACTAAGATGAAAAAGCAGAAATCTCATCCTCAATTACTTTATATGCGATTTAAAAAGCTACCTGGTATTCTCGCTTGATCATTGTAAGATCTACAGTGATACGTAGGATCATAAAGCTTTGAGATAGTACAACAATGGTTATCAACATCTACTATGTTAAATGTTTATGTAACTTTGTCTAACAACACTAAGTTAGTACCAAATGCAAAGCAGCACTAAAAGAGAAAGCTGATTCATGGGACTTTTAAGAAATGTTTCTGTTCTTCTGTTGCCACTTAGAATTCGGGCCAGAATTCAGCCACAGCAGCTTTTCGGGGAAGTACTAAGTAGAATGGTCTTGGGCTAGTTCACATCACAAAATCTTTATTCTCACTGATCTTGAAAGCAGCAGCTACTCAATAATCTGAAGGTTAAGTTTCATTTTGCTGTTATCTCGAAGGCACAACTCAGAAACACATGCTATTGTTGATTATCTCCTACAGAAAAAGGGAAGACTCCACATCCAAAAGGCTGATGATACAGTAAGTTTTGCAAACTACAAATCTCTCTACAGAGAAAGTAGAAAAATATATTTCAGAGTTCATGCTATGATCAGTGACCTAAGCTTAAACAGCTTAAATGATCAAACCAGCAGAAGTATACTACAAGTGGATTTTTATTGACTGAATAGGATAAACAGATTAATTTTAAAAAATCATATTACAAACTGGTACAGTAACATAAAATCACTTTGTGTATGTGGGGATGCCACTCTTAGCCTGCACAGCTCCTGCAGCGCTGTAGCCCGTTCTCATTGCAAGCAGTACACTTGAGGGCTTTGAAGGAGTCCGTAAAGCAGTTCCGAAACACAGACATCTTGCTGCCATGGCACGCTGAGCAGGGCAGGAAACCAAAGCCCCCGCAAGAGGGGCACTCGTGAGGATGCTGGACTCTCTGCTCAAAGAAGAACATGAGAAAGACAAAAAAGTTACCTCATCAGCCACCTTAAACTCTAAGACAATGAAGGCTCCAGGACAGCTGAGAATACACATTCTGGTCCCCATCTTGAGCAATATCCATCCCCTCATGCCAAGGTATATCATGATAGAAGATGAGTACCTCTGCCTTTTCCTTTAGTCAGATCTACATGCAATGGCCAGAGAGGCTCACTGCAGGTTGATCAGTCACACTGTACTTTAGTAGCCTGCATTTATACTTGCCAAAATAGTTAGCTAAAGGATAGCTTGCATACATTACTCTGATCTAGTTTAGATCTAGATCAATTCTAGGAGGTATTGCAATTGATTGAATCTAAACTCCAAGTAGTTTAGGTTGACATTCTATTTTCTATGCTGTATATTAAGATATCATGACTTTTAGTATTTGCATGCTGAACATATTGTTCCTATTACAGTTAGAGGTGATCATATCAAAAAGCAATTCATAGCTTCTGACAAGTACTGCTTGAGGAACTAAGTGGTGTACTCAAATTTATAGGTGTAGAATGCCAAAGCTTTAAGTGTAAAGAAGAAAGATCATCAATATTCAACAGTTATACCTGGACAAAATTGCTGCAAGCAAGGCCTGGGCTCCCTCAACTGTCCTAATTCCTGAGTAAAACAATAATTGTACTCTATTCTGTATTTGGTTAAAGACAATGGAGAACACAAGAAGAGATTTCAAAGATGTTTTTAAGTTTCACTTGCTGAAAATGTTACTAGTCTGTTTAATGATTGCCTTAAAGTTCTATATCAGAGAAATTAAAGGTACACCATGTTGCGTACTTACCACAGCATAGATATGTGGCTTTAACATTGCACTGTTGAGTAAAGATTTTACAGATTTATTTACAAATGAAGAACAAAAATCCATACAATTCCTGCTAGTATTAGTCTGAGGAATTATGTACCACTAAAAATTAGTCACAAATTACCAGTGTGTACTAAAATATGTACAGATAACATCGTCCTTCTTGTAGCTTCATCAAGAAAACTGAAGGTATTTCTGCAAAACCATAATAATAACTTTCACCTATTGACAAGTCAGATAAACACGCAAAATAGGCACTTTTTATTTTTGTTCTGTAAACTTGCCGTTCTTCACCAGGCAAACTCCTATTACTATTAACTTCTCCAGGGACAATGTTTAGAAGTATTTAACGTAAAATTAGCATTCTTTTTATCTCAGGAGTGCCCACATCTTTCTTAATTTATGATGGTGGTTTACTTCATTGGACATTACTGTAAATAATCTCAAAAATTTAAGAGAATAATATTTTTAATCTTTCCATTCATTATTGCTTGTTAGGCTTGTAAATAAATACCTTTCCACTTAGTTAAGAGAACTAACAAAAAAACAAATGCAAAATTGCTTTAGTTCAGTTCCTTGAACAATGGCCATTTCCTTCTTGAACAGATGACAATTTGTGTAACCACTTTCTGCATCTTCAGTAACGAAGAAACCTGACTGCCCCTTGCAATTGTAGCAAATCCATTTTTGAAAAAAAAAGAAAAAATAAAAAAAGGCATTGAAGCAGTAACTGTGTTCAGTAAGCAGTTCTCAGTCTGCTGTACTCTGGCGTAGTTTGTCTTACAGATGTACTTTCTGTTCCAAGATTAGGACACACATTGGACTCAGTAATAACATTATAGGACCCCCCAAAGCAGGATCTAGGGACATTTCATTCCAAAGTAATGAAAAATGTTAAGGAGGTGTATCAGCTAACCTTTCTAGTCAGACAAGAATGCTGCATGCTTTAATCATACGTATACTTTCGTTTAATAGTTTCTAGTTAACTATGCAATATGGTTCAATATGGCCAACAGGTTCTTCTGCATTTTATAAAGAAATACATACACTGAGTCACGAGGCAAGGAAAGTTTTGCTGAGTTAAGTTACAGGTCAGATAAATGAGGAAGGTACCACGTGCAGTGCAAAGGGACGAGGCAGTTGATGATTTACTGGATAGTGCTAAATCTACCTCCTGAATAAGACAGAAGTGAACAGCCCTTGGGCTCAACCTGACTGGAACTTTTAGAGGAGTTCAGGAAGGAGACTGGCTATAAAAAACCAACATGCTTTACAAAGATAGACCCTCATTTTGTGATAAATTCAAAGATGTATGGTATACAATGAGTTACTGAGAGCATGTTAGGAAAGCATATGCTGCAGTTTAGCTAAATGAAGGGAAACAAAAACCTTGGGGTTAAATGAACCAGATGTAGTTTTCTTTTGCTCTTTAATCAGTGTCTTTTACAGATATCATATCCTCATTATCTATTTTTAATGTTGACTTTACATACTTCTGAAGTTTATGTGTTATCTTATTTGCTTAGGGGTGATTTCAAAATAACAAGATAATTAATAGCAATACATTCCTTTTCTAAAGACGTAGCTGTCCATACAACCCAGACACACGTCTCCCCAAAACGTTCTTTGTTGCAGGCTATCCAAAGGAAAACAGAAAATGCCTTGAGCAGCCAATAGCACAAGACCAGCAGAAAAGTGATGACCAGTAGAGATCCTAGCTTACAGCAAAGTTGTGGGAGCAGACCCACACTACAAGTGTCCTCAGGGAGCGTGCACCAACTGTTCACAGGGAAAGGCAAACACCCCAGAGAACTTCAATGGACAAGGAAAATTAAGAGCTGGAGAAAGGCATGACAATCTGTAATTTGAAATTTGTGCAAATTGGTGTAATTGGAAACTTCCAGCATTTGCCCAGATTTTGTAGATGGTCAGCTCTAGGCCGAGCCAGAGCGCAGATGTCCACTGCAGTACACAAGGAAGTGGTGCAGCATCCACGCAAGAGGCCTGACTGCCCCAGGACATGGTGAAGGTTAAATACCAAAGATGATGTCAAAAGTTATGCGGAAGGAAAATTACTTGCCTCTCCTGCTGTGGCAAAATCAAGAGAAAATGGAGATGGGCGTTTTGGTTTGATGTTACTGCCATTCATGTTTTCTCAAACATAATGGGCTGTGATACTATGATATCATTCATTCAAAGAGAAAAACAAAAAAAGCATTTGAGATCATCAGTTTATAACAGAAGAAAAGGAACTGGTAAAAAAAGAATATCTACTCAATTACAAATATTTAATGTATGTTCTTTATATTTATTTGCAGAAATACAATTACCTCAATTTTGGTTAAGAGATCCTGCAGTTCCCCAGATTCATTCATTAGCAAAATTTTCTCAGCACCCTATTAGGAAGAAGAAGAAGAAGAAAAAGGTCAGCCAGTTTAGCACGAAAAAACAGAGGTGATTAGAAGATTTGGTCTTGAAAATTTAAATAGGCTGAGGACAAGTTTGACTCACATTAAATATTTTGTAATTAGGTAATTCTTAGGAAAGCTAGAAGGGGAGGAGAATCTAATCATAATTCTGAGAGTAGTGCCTGAAGTTCGTTACCAGGTGCCATATCACATTGCCTTTTTGTAAAAGCTGACACAGCTTGGAAATTCTGATTGTGTTCCTTTTATTTCACAGGATAAGTTTGCTGACAGAATAAAAAATATGTCTAGTTCTGGTGTCAAAAATTACAATTATATAAATATACAACACATCAGAGAATGCAGCAAAATGAGAGGAGGAAATCGTATTTCAAATATTCTGGCAGTTGAGCATTGAATTAAGACACAATATGCCTAATGTATAACACAAGGAGAAAAAGAATAGTGAAAATACTGTAACAACATTAAAGTCAGACACAACAATGAATAACAATAATTTAGTCTGACTACATTAGGCCTCTGAGGGGTTCTGTGATCTGAACCAAGGCGCTACTGAAGTGGTTTTCATTTTTTCCTCCTGAAAGTAAATGCTAAAAGATTACTGCAGACAAAATTAAAGTGTCAAAGATGATATAAAACTTTTTTCCCTTTTCTTCTAATTGGAGGGCCACATTTGAATGCTTATAATTCACTTATGTAACCAAATTCACTGAATACTAAATATTACCAAATGCTTACAGACACTTTTAATCAGTGGATGACAAGAAACCAACAAAAGGTGAGGAAACTAAGGCACAGATCGAGGGAACTGCACAGCCCTCACCCGGTGCTAAGGGCAATTGGCCACATCTAGACCAGGTGGGTTCATGCCATCGCGCTGCCCCAGTTTGCTAGTCCCTATGTGCCCAGATTGATAAATTTGATCTTTGGATTTGCTTCCAGCGTGAGCTGGGAGGTGGGCTGGGGTGTTGACACAGGGCTGAGGTGGGCTGGGGTGCTGGCACGGGGCTGAGGTGTGGTGGGATGCTGGCACACAGCTGAGGTGCGATGGGATGCTGGCACAGGGCTGAGGTGCGGTGGGATGCTGGCACACAGTTTGGATGTGCCATTACTTTGAGCTGCCCATGGTCAGCTGAAGGGGCTCTCAGCCCCAGCTCTCCACGAGCACTGCTCTCCGTTACTGGGAAGAGTGTATGTGTTAATGTCTCACTAATGTACATGTTAGCGTCCCACCATTCACAGAGCCTTGCTGGGGACTGCAGTGACTACAAGTGTGTAGCCCAAAAGCCAACTAAGGGTCACCAAAACATTGCAAAGGATTTTGTACAACACCCTACTGAAGTTAGTTTCCCTGTAGAAAGTCTTTTAGCTCTGGCTTTGTGCAAGAAAGAAGCACCTTTGACTGTGTGTTTAATGATTTTCATTTCAGCTAAAAAGCAAACTGTTAATATTATAGTGGATGAGTGCCACTTCTTCATTGAGCACGACTCTTACATTGCTACATTTCAAAGTGATTTTTATAAAAAAATAAGTATCTACAAGCTAATTAGTTGTGGTTAATAATTCACAGCAGATGACAAGAGACTCAAATCAGCTAGCCTTACTTGTGCTGACTCTTCTATTGAAATCTGTTACAGATCACGGGCACAGAGCGTACCAGCTTCGACACATGCATTAGGCTCTCTGCATCCCCAGCAGAGCAGCTTTTAGCAGTCTGTCGGCCCCTTTCATGCTTGCCCTCTAATCTTTCTCTGCTTTCACACAGAACTGCCAATAGGAGTGATTGGCACAACAAAGCGAGGGTTTGCCAAGGCAGCCCACGGAGTATTACCTCTGGGGCTGAATACACTGCAGCGGCTTAAGACAAAGCTTGTGCTGCCTGTCAGATGCAGAGACATTAAGGATTTGCAGCTTTATTGATGTAATTGCAGCACTGAAAATTCCCTAAGCTAAACAAGCCCCAATTTGCCCCCGTTTAGGAGAGGATCTCTCCTCTGCGGCAACAGTTGGCAAAATCATTCCTATGACTTCTGCTCCGTGTTACAGTGATGCTGCATGATAACGTTGACTGGCTTTTACGGCAGTATAATTAAAAATCTGACAGGTTTCCCATTATAGATTCATATTTTAAAGGATTTGTATTTCAGATGACATTCAGTCAGCCAGCTGTGCTACTTTCAAAGTGGAAAACCTCATTACTTTGGTTTTAAAATTAAAAGCCAAACATCCAAATGGCTATCAACGTTTTTAAGTGTTTCAGCATGTCTTTTCCGATTAACGGCTGCCCCAAGTGAAATTTGAATAAAAGGTACTTTGCAGAGGTTAACCTTCCGTTTGGATCTACAAATCTTAACACACAGAATCTGTAATTAATAGAGTAATTAAAGCAGCTCCTAAGTAAGTTCAATAGCTGCTTTCTGACCAGAAAAGGATGCCTTTCTTTTTCTTCCTCATTTGTGCTCAGTCCACAATTACCCACACAGAGATGTGAAACATTAAAGGGTCTGTCCCTCATAAGACTCACATAAGGCGTATGACAGACAGTGGCCATAACTTTTAGAGAAGCAGCAAGAAGTGAGTTTTCAGATTTGTTAACCAGCTAAATTTCAAAGCGCCAGCCTGTGAGTCCTTTATCTACTGACTTCAATAATTCTCCACCATGGTGGAGGAGCCCAGGGGCTGTGGTCAGGCCTTTGCCCTTCTTTTGGCAAGGAAACGCCACAGACTTGGCTAAATCACTCAACCAGTTTTCTAAACCATTTTCATTCTTCAAAATATTTTCCCAATTTTCTCTTGAGAATGTCCAGAAATTAACGTTGTATTTCAGGTATTGTCCCTCTAATTGCAGAACTAGGACAAATCCAAGGTCCACTAATTTTTCTACTGCCCCAGCTTTGTCCTGTCTCTAAACCAGTCTGTTGCTCACCTATCTTGGATGTAACTCATTGCTATTTTCACAATGTAATTCTTCATCAAGGAATACACATAGATATATGGCTCTGAATTTGGCTGTGCTAGAATACCTGCTGATTTTGGGAAGCAGCCTCTCTTCCACATCCTTCCTTATATACAGAGAAAAATTAGCACGGCACTGCAACATCTCTGTTGTGGACACATTTGCTGTGCAGATAAATTGCATCACTCATTTTCTTAAAAACAAGCTTTTGCTAAGTATACAGGCAAGGTCTTTTGCTAAGGCAGCAGAATGCAATCACACATCTTACCATTACTGGAACTGTCATGTTTTTTTCACTATGGCTCACCGAGGAGACAGGCTGTACATAGCCCTCTCTTTGCCCAGAGCTCACAGGCTCTGCCGCCCACAACACTACACCTCTCACAACGAGGTGCCCCTTAGCAGCAGACACGCATGGGGTGTGATTAAATGCCTGGAAATCTGCCCATAAACTGAGAAAACTGACACTGCAGTGTAGTACCAGCACCAGATATGTTGGATTTGATATGCAAAGAACTGAAAGATTGATGTGTAAAGGGCTATCAGATTAATTGAACCCTGCTGCTCCTGAAATGTTAAACTGCAAAATGGAGGAAACAAGTTGGAAAATGCTAGGTGCATAATGCATAATTACATCATAGTTTTACTGTCACAGAGCCATTCATATCCACACCATCAAGTGAAAGCCAGGAGAATGTGTTTACTCTAACAAAACATGGGGACAATTGAGATGGTCTAATCATATATGGCCCCTGGAAAGCAGCAAAAAGGAAACTGTTCATTCTTGTGTAACAAAAAATATGTTACAGAAGTATTTTCTAAAAGTCAGTTACAAAAATAGTCTAATTCCTGGGAAATAATCGTAACTGAGTCAAATAAAATAATTTTACTGTAAATGTGGATTCAGCACAACATTCCCATTACATCTGGGAAAACAAAATAGGAAAGAGTTTCTTCAGGAAAAAAAATATTAAATTTACATTTTTGAAAAAGATTCAAGTAGGTTTGTATGGCACGTGAATACTGGAATTCAATCATGTATTTAAAATGAAAAATAAAATAAATGTATTTTAAAACTCTTATGCAGTGTGAACTAACATGTTTACTAAGGATGACTCTATTTGCCTTTTTTTATGTGCATCCCTTTTCCAATAGAGTGGGTCTTTGCATAACAAAAACATCTAACAATCCTGAGTGCCTTTGTAAAAGAGTAAATGAATGCTCCAATTTTTTTTATTTATTTTATTTTTTTTTCCTGTGCGGCTTTCTGTTTTTTGGAAGTCATTTTTTATTCTGCTTTGGTGTCCCAGCAGATGGCATAATTCCATTTCAGATGGAGGCAGCCTCAGGTGAAAAGGAGGGATTAGATCAGCTGGTAAAGAGCATGCTGCAGAAAGAACCTGCTATTTCCTGACAGACTGATATTTAGACGGTGTGTGTCAAGAAATACAATGATTCAATCCTGAAAAAGCGAGAAGATTAAAAAAACTGCTGTACTGCAGCATGCAGGACTTTGCTTCACAGGGGCTAAATATGATTTTTCTATTGCTTCTGCCCAAGTTGCAGGTTTGTTTCATTCCCCCTGTGCAGGCAATGATAAATCCCACAGCGCTGTGAAGATTTATCCACACAGCCTGCAATGCTCTAACAGCCTCGTCCATGCTTCTGAATGGTTTGGATACCGTATACTCTATCAGAAGCACATATGCTGTGTTCTGGTGCTTTTGTTACATTTATCTCATTAAAATAATCTTGTCCCCTTTCAGAACTGTTCATATTTTAATTAGAGGTTGGGTGTTTTTTTTCTCTTTATGAGTCATTGAAAGGCACATGGCTCAATATAGATTCTCCTTTGTGTTGCTACATGCAATCTCCTACAGGGAGGGATTTGCCAGGAAATAAATATTCAAGATTTTGAAAAGAGAGACAGAAAAAGGGGGAGAAGAAAAATATTGCATGATTAGTTTACTGACACACTAGGCTTCTGGATTTCTGTGTTGCATTTCAATATCTGAAGATAATTATGATAAAAAGCATTATAGAAATGTCCACTCTTTGGTGTCATTGATGCATTGTCTTCTTAAGGTGTCACATCCAGCATGCATTGGCGTAGCTGGGGGGTGAATATTTTGTTGCCAAACCTTCTCAACATGCAAAGTGCCCCCCTCCTTACTTCTCTTCCTAAATTAATAATGCCAACCTCTTTTATGAAGGCATATTAAGACAGAGAAATAAAAACTGCCGTAAAATAATGGGGTTTGGCCACATTTACCAAACAGTGTGGACACGGGTCCCTTGCCAGTGCAACTGACAGGCTCACCCCAGGGCTCTCCTGTCCCACCGCCCTGCCAGCTGGGGTGCTCCCCTTGGCAGACACAGAGGCTGCCTAAGTTAGCTCTGCTCACACTGAACTGGGTTTTCCTATCCTGGTTCATCTCAACTAAAGCACATTAGAGAGCGATGCTGTAGCAAGCAGCAGTGGCTCCGGTATGATGATAATTAGTGGAGGGCAGAAACCTCATCTGTGAGCACAGGTGAGAGGCACCCACATGATGTAGTCTGTATCAGGATCTGTAATCAGCTGAACATTGTTTTAGGTACAGAATTGGTTAATGCTTAATTTTAGAAAAATGTAGCCGTAAAAGAAAGATAAAAACAGCCCAATTCTGCCCTATTGCAAGATGTAAACTCCAAATGGAAATCTATAATCCAAATTTCTGCTCTGGTACTCTGGGTCTAAAAGCCTGTTGATATTTGAAATCACCTTTTCATTAAGGTCAGTCTGTACCTTCGAAATGTGTTTCTCAGAAACTGAAAAAATCAAAGTTTAAAAGAAAAAGATTCTGGAAAGTGGTACAAAGTAAACAGCTTGGGAGATCAGAGAAGGTATTTGCCTTGAGTGGTAAAGAACTAGCAATTAGCACCAACAGCTAGACTGTGATTTGTGAAGGCAAACTATATTTAAACACAGTGGGGTTATTACGTTTGTATTGCTCAACACCTTCATTTTCACAAAAGATTTAACTAACAAAACGAAATGTAATCAACAATCAGGCATAATTGATATTGGGCCTGTATAAACACTCAAATACCCTTTCTATCCTTTCTCCCCATCCACTTCCTAGCTCTCTGTGCGCTCTGCATGAGGCAAGCTTCCCCCAGCACTATAACAAATGCATTTGCTGGCACAGGGCTCTCCAGACCACTACTGCAACTGCAAAATCACCTGTGTGCAGAATATTGGCAGACTGTGATTTTTACTTTATAGTAGAGGATGCTTTTATCAAAAACCTGAGTCAGAGAGTTCTCCAGCCAGCCAGGAGCAGCAGGGCTGTGTTCAAAAGCAGCTTGAAATTCAACAGGGTTCAGACTAAGATTCACTCACCAAATTATCATGTTAAAAATAAAAGTAGTGAGTTATGACCAACTCCAAGAAAATCTTAGTCCGTATGTGATCAATTTGTCAAAAGAATTCAGTTAAAATACTGAAGTGGATTGAATAAATTATTTGCTCAGCTGTAAGTGAAGCCTGGTTACAGTCATTTTGGTGCGATGGATGGCCCATTAATTCACTGCTGCTTTTCTTTTTGGAAGATCATGGGAAACTTGTCTTTTAATAGAGGAGCAACAGTGTAACAAGCAATACAATCTCATTAAAACTATGTAAGTATTGTATGAGATACTTTGGAGAGGTATAGAAAAGAAGACAAGTGAATCAGGAAGCTAGCTGTCTGTGGGAGAGACAAATCTAGCTGTCCAACTACCTGCTGACAGGTAGTCAGCAGGTTTTACCTCCTGTGGGTAAAAAAATGAAGAAATACTTTGGTGTCCTGGTCTACAGACATTATTACTGCATGGCAACTGCAGTCACATTATTTAACATAAGAAAACAAAAAGTATTGATCTGCTAAAAAAAAAAAAAAAAAATCAGACTTGAGGGGTATTTTCTTTCTTTTTGTTTTTTTTTGAGTAAATTGATGAGACACACTGTGGTTGAATGGAACAGACTTTAGATCCAGGAAAAGATTAAAGTTATTCCATGTAAGAGTGATATTTTTTGTGGAAAATCTGCTTTGCAGGCAGGGAGCAGTCCATCACGGCTGGCCAGGACGGTTGCAGCCCTTTACTTCTTGAATTCAATGCGTGTTTAATGTCTGACACCCCAAGCTGTTAGTTCCATATTCAACACAGGTACTACTAAATGACAGGTTTACACTATATGTGTTCATCTTACTGGGTCAATCATACATACAGGTTCCCATGAAGAAAAAAAATCCATTTCTGCAGATTTTCATTATTTCAGCTACAAAGATAAGCTACTTTTTAAGAAACACAGGATAGCTTAGAATGTATTACTGCCTCTTATTCCCCTCCTGACAGCCTCTCCCCAGTTATCTTTTGCATCTTCAGATCAAATTTATCAGTGTGGATCTGTGCAGCACATGCCACAAACAGATCTCCGTCTTTGATTGTTCCCATCATTCCAGCACTGCAAGCAATTTTCTAAAAACTCTGCTTCTCGTTCATCAAGATTTTCTTCTGTTCTTCTAGACTGCAGAATAAAACATAGGCTTATGCTTTACTTACCCCAAGATAATGGCCATCAATAAACACAACAGGGAGGGAGGGAACTTCACAGACCTTCCTGCATCTTTCATCTAGTTCTTTTCCATAATCACTGTTCAGAGCAATGTTTTTTTCTTCAAATTTAACTCTGTGATTTTGAAAGATCTTTCTAACCAGTTCGCATTTTTCAAAAGTGGTTCTCACCACACGAAGGCTGGTAGTATAAATTACTATGCGGCCAAACTCTAGCACTGTTGATATCTGGAAAAAAAAAAATAGTTCCCATTACATTAAGGTATCAGTAGCTTCCAAGTATTGAGTAATATCATTAAAAATATTATTTAAGCAAAAACATTGCATCTGGAAGACACAATTCAACATTCTACTTTTCTCAAATATAAAGATGGAAGGGGAGGAATTAAGTTCTTGCAGTCACCAACTTAAGGTAATTTAAGCTGTTTATCTAAGTAAGGTGCAACTTTACTTTTTTTTGAAAGTTTTAGAGATGGTGAATCAAGTTAAATATTTTCAAGAAGCAGATATATTTTAGATCCTGGTGGACTTCCAAATGTGAATAAATCATCACCATTTTGTTGAAGTCTGATTCTGTTATAACAGTGACTCATGTTTGCTCAAACACAGTCTGGTAGTATCCAGATTGAGTCTGAACTTGCTAGCTCAGGTGGTGTTGACAGCCTCCTTTAAGCAAGGATGGGAGCCTAAGCTAGGCTTCATGACAGCCTCTTTTAAGCAAGGATGGGAGCCTAAGTTAAACTTTATCACATTTGTGAGCCACCGTTAACTTAGAATATTTTAGGTCTCTCCATGTTGAACTAGATAATGACTGCAGAGAGGACAGACGTGTCCCTAATTTTTAGTGTGGATCCACACCAAATTACTCTAACATCCAACCAACAATAAAAAAAAAGTATGTTTTGTGTGTATTCAGTGTCCAATTCAAAGCCCGCTGCAGCTAGGGGAGGCAGCTCCCATGGCTGTAAAAAGTTCATACTACAATTCAGATTTGACTTTTTACTCCACTTCTTTGTATGTAAAAATTTATACCTTGTCTTTCCTTTCTGGGATGAAAACAATTAGGCAGTGTAGATACTACAGGGATTAGTTCACCCGAGAGTGGTACATTTTCAAAAAGCCTGAGAATCATTGCTCTAAACAAATCTATTATGTTCAGATAAATAGCTAAAATCCTAGCTTTTTAAGAAGGTGGTAAGGCATTTCCAAGCTTTTCAAATTATCCATTATATCCAGCAAATTATATTTAATTATTTGAGCAATATTCCAAGAGTAAAAGCACAAGTTAGAAAATAAAAAGCAAGGATACCTAAAATTCACTGTAGCAATCTATGGAAAATGAACCTTGATGGCTCAAGAGATATTTTTTGAACTATGTCATGCAATAACTGTAAAGACACAGTTGTGAAATTGGGTAGATGCCATTGCAGATTTTGCCACACAACAAAGTAATGATTTATGTTACTACGTAAATGCAAAAAAAAAAAAAAAAAAAAAAGAAAAAGTCATTGCAAAAAGCATGTTTTGCTTAGAAAGGCTGGATATACGGTGAAGGGTTCTCAGGAAACTTGTGTTTCACAGATCACTTTTAGACCACTGGACGTGTAATTGCAAACATACGTAATGTAATGGTTTTCCATCTCCCATTCTGGGAAGTAAACATGTTGTGATAGGTCAGTATTTATTTCTCTTTGAATGGATGTCAGAAATTCAATTTTAGGAACAAATGTTATAAAAAGTGGGCTACTTTTCTCCAGCCTGTTTTCTACACTGAAAATCTGTTATAGTGCTACTGCAGCATTGACTCTTCTGCAGCATATTGTTCACACATTCCAAGTGAGAGGGTTAGCTCATCCTCTACTTATAAGTCAACTACTTTACATAAACACTGCCAAATATTTTAGCAACCACACATGGATTGCTGGAAGGAAGAGGAGTTCATCCTTTCCAGAAGTAATGAAAAAGAGTTCTTAAAATATTCCTTTAAAAGATAATTTCACATACTCAGCATTTCCTCCTCTTTGGAGTGAAAATACATTTTGAAGTGCAAAACTATTCAACAGGATGGAAATTCTTGCTCCTTCACAGCTCTAATCTGTAATGCTGTTTGTTCCCAGACACCAGAGGCTGGCAGCACAGATACAGATGGTCATTATCTAGTGAAGCATCAGGACTGTGGTGTCCCTACAGCATACAAATAAGCAGCTGAAGAGATGGAAAAATGGAAAGCTGTAAAGTGATCTGGACAGATATCAAGTGGAAGGTGTGTACGCAGAGTCACTTTTATGTTTATTCCTTTATTTTTTCCTAATGTGGCAGTGAAGAAATACCCTTGTTTGCCCTGTAAAGAAGTATTAAGTGCACTGACTAAATAATTCTTCAGGGAAATTTTAGTAAACACATTGTTTTCTGTGCTACAAGTGCACAGAAATTGTCCCTGGCAAGACTTTATCATAACCAGGAAAATCCTTCCTGTCACCTGCCTGGAACTATGCAGGTAATTAAAAATAGGAGTCAAGACAAGTTAGAGAGATTTACAGGGTTTTTCTTAATGAGAATCTATGCTAATTGTTATTTTTCTACCCAATTCAATGGCTACAGCCTGTAATATTTAGTTACTAGAATACGCTCTTGAAGTAAATCAGCAGAATAATGTTTAAACACTGTGCTTTTCCTTCCTAGGATGGAACGGTGGCAAAAAAAAACATAATAAATGGCCAGCAATATAAACAAATGAATAGAAAGACATTTTAGAAAACAAACTTTTACAATTTTGTGTAACAAACTTCAAATTAGAATCATCTCGTGTAACTCACAAACACACATCAAATTTTACCTGAAGTTAAAGAGAAGGTAATTCTCTGTCTGGTGAATGGGCATGACAAAATGTTACTCAGGCTGTGGAAGCTGGACAGATGAACAAACCAAAAGATTTGGCGTGACTTACATTGGCCACCTCTCACACTCCCTGTAAGTGGGATTCTCACTGAAACTTGAAGCTGATGGGTATCATTTGGCCTGAGGTGGCAACGTTTGTGTCAGATTCAGAAAACCCCATGCACATGGGCCAAGAGTGTGCTTCAGGTAAAGTGTCCACATAGAAAGACTGCCAAGGAAGGGATTTAAGGTTTCAGAGGGAAATAAAGTTGCTTTAGTAACAATCCTCTATACCATTTACAGCTCTTAGTTTAACAGCACAGTGCTACCATCTCCCCAAGGGTCCAAAGGCAGTATCTATTCTACTGCATCAACTGCATCAACCTGAAGAGCTTGCCTTTTGCTTGGGAGTGTCAAGAAGGCAGCAACAGCAGTAGCATGACCTGCATCACTTCATGGCACATGGTTGCAACTAAATGTAATCATTAACTGCGCAAGTCTTCTGCAAACAGCATGAGGGATGTCATCCCATAAGGCTAAATGCACGAGCTTAGCATCAAGAGAGACCACACAACAGAGGAAGAAAATGCTGATGAAAAAGAGAACGGTTAATAAAGCAAGAAGATGAGCAACAAAATGGAGGGATGCAAGGGACTGGAAAAGGGCAGAAAAAGCAGAAATAACCACATATAATAATAATAATAATAA